ATAGAAGCAATACTTTGGGTTTGTTTGTTTTATATTGGAAAACCTAATCTACAACTAGCTCTTGCAACATTGTCTTCATTGTGTGAGAAAAAGCATACTTGTTTAAATTCAGGATTATGAAACTTATTTTTATTTTTATAACATGAGATGTGTCAGGCTTCATCTATCTTGAGTGTTAGAGTTTTATTGCAAAAAGATTCTGTTTTCTTCAGCCCACGTAACTTTCACTTCCAGCCAAGTATTCCTGCAGTGGAGTTGATCCTACCTCCTCAACCACCATTTAAATGCTTGGTCTGAAACAAGAGCATGCCCTATTTTCCTAGGCATTTATTATTTCTGTGGTCCCACATTTATTTGTAGGCTTTCTCTTCCCTCTTCCTTGGCTTCTGAGTTTCATTTGGTTGTATGATTATTCCTGTGTGAGTCAGTTCATGCCCTCTAGATGGCAGAAACCAAGCTCAATGGGGTTAGAAATGTGAGAGATTTAGGGGAATCTGAGTGGGTTAATTGGTTAAGTATCTGGCTCTTGATTTCGGGTCAGGTCATGATGTCAGGGTTGTGAGATACAGCCCTGTGTTGGGCTTTGTGCTGGACATGGAGCCTGCTTAAGAGTCTCTCTCTCTCCCTCTGCCCCTTCCCCCCACTGGTGTGTGCACACAACCTCTCTCTCTCTCTCAACAAAAAAAAAAAAAAAAAGAAAAAAAAAAGAAAAAAGAAAAAAGAAAGATCTATCGAGAAGGATGCATAGGACAATGGGGAGGGAGCTGGAATAGGCAGGGTAGGACTCAGGTCATGATGCAACAGGACATCTGCTAAAGGAGAAGTAGTGGGCTAAGAAGAGCCTCCTACCATGGTGTAGCTGTGGGAAATGCATGGACAGCCCAATAGGGGAACTTAGACACCAAGACTGCCCAGAAAGGACTCCCACACTGGGCAGAAATAGCCAGGTCCCGTACCACATCATGCTTAGCTACTGGTGAAGAGCTTTCTAGGACAGAGTGACCTTGACTAAAATGCTGCTGCAGATTTGAAGACTTTGCCATTGTTGGCTATCACCTGCTGTCCTTAGAGAAGTTTCTCTTGAGGAAGATCAGAGCTACAAGGCTTCATGGCTGTCACACCCACCCCCCCTTTCCTCAGCAGACATTCTTCTCTTATAGGTTTGGGAGACAGCTGTTTCATGTCTCCCTCACGTCTTTTCCCCAGGGGAATCTTACAAGGGAACAGTTAGAACGATAAACTATAGCTCTCAGCAGTGCAGTTCATATGGGGGATGCAACTGATACTCAGTCTCTGCCCCCCTCCACCATTTGTTCTAAATTTACCTCACTGTCACCATTGGTTAACAGCTCTGCTGGTCTCAGTGGCTTACAGGCAGTGAGACTAATCCCTCCCATGGGAGGTTGGAGCCCCTGGTATCCAAATCCTTTTTGGGCCAGGATTGCTGTGAGGGACTGCAATTTCAAAATCACAATTGGGCAATGGAATATCAAAAGCAATTCTACACATTTTTCTTTCTGCCCCAACATGAGACAGCAGCCCTGCTCCGCCTGCTAATCGGGATCAAAGAGTTGTTCCACAATGGAGACTTGTCTTCTGGCCTGCTGGCCATTACAAAGGGAGTTCAAATTACCCAGGAGGCAGCTATGGATTGTTGCTCAATGGAACACTTCCTATGTCTTCTAGAAAGAGTATGCCCCCTTTGGGGACTAGGATCTCTAACCATGTAGAGCCCAGAATTACAGAGACAGAAAATATAAATTGCCCATAATGACCACTGGGTTGTTGATTGTTGGCTAACTTCATTCCTCATGACAAGTTCTTGCTTGAAGGGACATCTCAGTGGCATATACCATAGCTGCTGTACCAGTATTTGTAGAGGATTATGCATCCTCATATATTCTCATGTAACGTGTGGCGATTTCCTGTTGGAGGAAAATCTATACCTACCCCACTGATATCAAGTTTGGCCATAAGCCTGGTTTTAGCCAATGGGATATGAATGAAAAATTATATGTCATGTCTGAGAAGAAGCTTTAAGAGACACTATGTGGTTCAGTGAGTCCTTTTCTCTCTGCCACAAGAACATATCGCAGGAGGGCCTAGCTCCTATCATGAAGGAGGCCTGTAGATCAGAGCCATGGCTAAAGCTCAGCCAACCCAGTCAATGCATGCAAGAAATAAACCTTTGTTGTTGTAAAGCACTAAGAATCAGAGATTGTTTGTTACTTTATGGATCTGGCTAGTAAATGGTGCATTTTGGTATTTGTGATATTTTGCTGGTTGCTAGCAAGTCTCCTTTGTCCCACTTTCTGATATTTGTGTTTCCCTGGCTATTCCTAAATAACAGATGTCTGCTCATTAATGGCTCTAACTATTGTTCTTAATGTTTCTGGGAGGTCTCTGGATTGACTATCTCAGAAACATCTGGATACAGTCTTTAAAAACACAACTCACTGGCTGCACATACAGAGGTCCTGACTCCACAGATGTGATTTGGTAGTTGTCTTTAGTGTGGGTTCTGGAATGTGCATATTTTTAAAGCTCCACAAGTTTCTACAATAAATTCAGGAATTGTTGTATATTATATTCCACAATCTTCAATTTGCTGTAAGCTAATCATCTTTACTGGTCTCTTGAACTTAGAGGTACCATTACCTTTATTGCTTACCCTTGGACAATGGCCTTTGTATCCAATTTATTTTAGTCCCATCCCTTTGTCCTGCATTCATAGCCTGGTCATATAAAACTAGCAACTCAGACCTACTATTGTTTGAAGCATACATTGAATTTCTCTTTGGAAGAAGTGTGTGTGTGTGTGCGTGTGCATCTGTGTGTGTGCGTGTGCATGGACATATATGAACAAAGGCATTCAGAGTTAGATGAAATTGTTTTATGCTGAAAAAATGTAATTTCGAAATGAAGCAGCAGAGCTAATTATCTGTCTGGAAAAAGGCTCAGGCTCTATTTAGGTCAAAAGTAACAGAGAAATTGCTGATACAATTATTCCTAGTAACTATCTCATAAATGCCTATGTGCATTAACACATGCATAAATCCCCTCACGTGGCTATGTTACTCGGAATGAGATGACTGTCTAAATAAATCCATAAAGCACTCCTTGTGCAGTGATATGACAACAGAAATAAGGAAAAGATGAGGATGCAAAATGATTGAAGGCAAAGTTACACAAAATCAAATATCTATGAGAAAGATGAAGGTTACAATCATCACAAGTTAAAGAGAAACCTTCCCATTCCACCACACCCATCCCCCTCCTCCACCACTTCTGTTCCGCCTTAAATTCTTAATGATTTTTCCTAAACTATTCCATTTAAGGAAGCTTCATTTATTTTCTGATGGATGTTCTTGAAGAAAGCACACAAAATAAAATACGTGGCAACACTGCCCAGGCTTAGGACGCTTACAACCAGGATGTGGAAAGCTCCACCCACCCAATCCTCCCAATCCTTTGACTTCATTCATGCTTCTGGATATTCATTGCTCAGGATAGTGTAGCCAGCTTCCAGCCATCTTAATTTCATTTTGCAAAGATGGTATACTCATTGTCTGAATATCCACTCAAAATATTCAGAAAAAAAGAAATAAATATAAACTAATATTTTTGACTGTGTGGCAAGTCATTGTCCAAATTAACGCCAGAATCAGAGTCTCATGTTCTTGCTGAATCCTTTCTGGCTCTATCCACTATGGTCATATAATTCTGCTATGTCCTCAACCAAAGAGGGAAAGAAAAAAACTCATTTTCCATTATTGTTCCTGTTAGAATGTAAAATTTGTGACAAACATTATAATGGTATGAAAGATACAATACAGAGAATGATAGAATCTTAGCTTGAATATCATCATGTTATAAAGGCAGAACCAGCCAAAAATTTGGGTTAAAAAAAAAAGAGAGAGAGTTTAAATAAACTTATGTCTGGAAAGGTAGACTCGACAGGCTTCCAAAAAAGCATATACTCAAAGCTACTTTTTTAATATTCATATCTGTCTAAGAAAATCAGTGGGATATTTTCAACAATGTTTCTTTTTGCTTCCTCTATTGATGAATAAACATAAATGGGGAAAACTCTAGAAAAAAAAATCTTTAAAAATTTCACATTGACACTCTTGTCTTTTTTCTTCATCCAAGAGTCACTATTACTTAATAACCTAGAGAAAGGGCCAAGAGTCATTTCCTATATGAGTCACTGAGCTTCAAACTGGGATCTCTTATATTTTAAGACGTTTGATCGAACTTTCCTCCGTAAAACATAAGAACCTTCCATTTAAGAACTTTGCATACTCCATGAAGTGTTTAGAACGATCCCAGGATCACATGATACTTTCACTGTATCTCTTTATTTATTATTATGCTATTTAATTCTGTGAGGCCAGCTTATTAGTAAGAACTGGGTTTCCAGTCTCAGGGAAGGTTTCTGGAGAGCTCCCAGAGGTTAGCAATTGCAGCCTTGCTCTTTCTCTCCCCCCTGTATTTGGTCATGACCCCTCTTTTGTTGCTCTTTGCCTTGTCTTCCCCGCTAAATCAACCTGGTAAAGAGCAGGGATGGTTTTGAGGAAGTGGAGAAGAGTGTCAGGCGCTGCCCACTTGACCTCAGCCGTGTGTCAAAAGACGGCCCAGGCGAGTCATTGTCACCGGCCTCCTGCTCGCTTTTTAAGCCACCCACAAGATTTCCCTTAAGGGAACGCGATGGAAGTTGACATGTGCCACTGCGGGACTTTCTTCTCCTTTAAAATACTATGTTGAGAGTATCTGGATGCCAGGATTCTAGGGTGGCTGGAAATAAGTGCTGGGATTTCCGATGCTCATCAGGTTACATCTGCTCTCGCGTCCGACTCGATGCACGAGTACAGCCTGTGCGGGCCGATGCATACACGCTCCTTCGCCCTCCCGGTTAGGCTCGAGCTCCCCCGGGGCCCGGGCCGGGGCTCCGCCGGCTCCCCTCACCCTCCCGCGCGGGGCTCTGCTCTGTCTTGCAGCATCGGGGGCGACGTGGGCCGCGGCCACGAGGGGAGCTACGCGGGCAAGCACTTCCGCATGGGCTTCATGACCATGCCCGCGCCGCAGGACCGCCTTCCGCACCCCTGCTCCGGCGGCTTCTCCGTGAGGTCCCAGTCCCTGCACTCGGTCGGGGGCACAGACGACGACAACAGCTGCGGCTCCCGCAGGCAGCCGCCCCCCAAGCCCAAGCGGGACCCCAGCACCAAGCTGAGCACGTCCTCCGAGACGGTCAACAGCGCCGCGGCGCCCGGCAAGAGCGCCAAGGGCCCCGAGCGGCCCGAAGGTAAGAGACGCCCCGACCTGGGGGTTGGCGAGCCCCTGGGCCCCGCACCTGTGGGGTGGGCATGCGCCTGGGCCCCGCACCTGTGGGGTCGGGGAGCCCCTGTGCTCTGCACCTGTGGGGTCGGCATGAGGCTGGGCCCCGCACCTGTGGGGTCGGGGAGCCCCTGTGCCCTGCACCTGTGGGGTCGGCATGAGGCTGGGCCCCGCACCTGTGGGGTTGGCATGAGCCTGGGCCCCGCACCTGTGGGGTCGGCATGAGCCTGGGCCCCGCACCTGTGCGGTTGGCATGTGCTTGGGCCCCGCACCTGTGGGGGCGGCATGAGCCTGGGCCCCGCACCTGTGGGGTCGTGTGCCCCCCTGGGTCCCGCACCTGTGGGGTCGGCATGTGCTTGGGCCCCGCACCTGTGGGGTCGGCATGTGTTTGGGCCCCGCACCTGTGGGGTTGGCATGTGCTTGGGCTGCGCACCTGTGGGGTTGGCGTGCACCTGGATCCCGCACCTGTGGGGTCAGCATGCCCCTGGGCCCGGCACCTGTGAGTCAGCATGCACCTGGGCCCCGCACCTGTGGGCTCTGCATGAGCCTGGGTCCTGCACCTGTGGGGTTGGCATAAGCCTGGGCCCCGACCTGTGGGTCAGGATGTGCCTGGCCCCGCACCTATGGGGTCGGCATGCTCCTGAGCACCTGCCTGCCCCCCTGGGTCTCACAGGTCTGCCTGCCCCTCAGACAGGAGGCCTGGAGTCCAAGAGGCCTTTTGTTAAGGTGTCAAGGAAGGACACCCCGAGGGATGCATTTATATCACCAGGAAGGGAAGGCATCCTGTCGTGTATTTTTTTACCCCCTTAAAACTTCAAATCAGGGATGCCAGGGTGGCTCAGCGGTTGAGTGTCTGTTTTTGGCTTAGGTTGTGATCCTGGGGTTCTGGGATTGAGTCCTGTGTCAGGCTCCCTGCATGGAGCCTGCTTCTCCCTCTATGTCTCTGCCTCTCTCTGTGTGTCTCGTGAATAAATAAAATCTAAAAAAAAAAAAAAAAAAAAAAGCTTCAAATCATTAGGAAGTGGTTTGGCCTCGAAAAAGATCTAAAATTTCTATTTTCTTGCTTTGATTAGTATCATTTGTATGGTCACAAAAGCATTATGTGATTCTTAGAGGAACATTGTGAGGCAGAAAAATAGAAGGCAAATTGTAATTATTTTAAGACTGGTGATTCGGGACATTTTGGTGGACTGCCTTCCAGTGAATATGGGCACACACGCTGTGTATATATTTCGGTGTCTACTTCAATCTCAATCTCTACACTCTACGCTTACCTGTATGTTAACTCAGCTATTAAATGTACAAATCTCTCTCCTCCTCCTTGCTGGCCTAGGAGGGTGAATTAGGTCAGGTTAACCAGAGATCTCACAGCCCTTTCGTCTACCTTGAGTGAGGAAATTTCAGCTTGTCTAGGTTTCTCCTGAGAGTCCCTTGCAGTAAGAGCAGTCTCAAGTGTGTGTTGATACAAGCGCATTCAGATTTTTGTGCGTTAGCTGCAAACAGCGGTTCAAGGTTCCCTGTGCCAGCCTGAAAGTACCTTTGGGCCAGGTCCTCATTGTTCTCTCATGCTGTGTGTCCCTGACATTCTCCACAAGAGGCTTCCCCCAAGCCCCCAGCGTGCCAAGTGTCACGGTGGTTTGCAGCTGAGAGTGGAGGCCAAGGTGGTCCTTTTCTTAGCTGGGAAGCTGTCTTTGTCATGTGGGCTCCCCAGTCCTTCATACTGTGGTCTAATCTTTCCACAGAGGCTCAAGCCTAGCCCATGAGATGGGGTGCCCATGACTCATGTCACATCTCTTCCATCACCCTCATATTTCATTTCCCCCAGCTTGGTGTCTATTCAGCCAAAACTGAAAAAAAAAAAAATGAAAGCTTTGAGGCACATTAAAGAATACAAATAAATGCTTGGAGGTGGAGCTAATCAATGGAAAATCTCCACTGGAGGCTGTTTTTCCTACTACACATACATGTAAAAACATGACTATATGCATATGCATGTGAGTACATATGTGAGTAAGAGGGATGTGTATTTACAAAATTGAAATCATGACTGCATGCGTCAGTCCAAACAGTTTCATGTTTTATTTTCACCTATTTTCCTGTGACTATTTTCCACGGTGTTCAATTTAAGAAACACTATTTTTTGAATCTTTTTTTAAAGATTTTGTTTATTTATGAGACAGACGAGAGACAGAGAGAGAGAGAGAGAGAGAATGAAGCAGAGACACAGGCAGAGGGAGAAGCAGGCTCCATGCATGGATCCTGACGTGGGACTCAATCTCAGGTCTCCAGGATCACACCCTGGGCTGAAGGCGGCACTAAACCACTGAGCCACACGGGCTGCCCTAAGAAACACTATTTTTAAGAAGAGAAGTGTACATCATAACACTTTATTGAATCATTTTCTCCTTGATAAGTACTTAGGTTGGTCCAGTTTATTTTGCTATAATAAATAGAACTGACACAAATGTGCATGCGTGCATGCATGTGTTCATGTCTGTGAGTCTGTACAAATCTCTTTATTTTTTCTCTGCTGCCTTAAGAATAGATCAGATGACTCCATTCTCTCCTGATTCAAGGTCATCAGTATGTCCTTCAACTTGTAACACATTGGTGCTTGTAGAAACAAACTAGGTGTTTCATCTACTTGTTAATACACTGAAGGGCCCTAGAGACCTAAATATTGTTCTTAGGTTTCCCCTGATGTTGTTACACAATGCCTTTCATTTCCCTTTATTTGCTCTAATCTTATTTCCAGAAGTCCCCCCACTCCTACCTTTCTTGCCAAAAAACTGCATTGCCAATGATGTTAGATTATTTACAAAAGAAGTTTACTGATTTCAAACTCAGTTCTCCATAGGATGCAGGCTTGAGCGTAATCTAGAAATATTGAAGAATCAAAGGGAAATAAAAGAACCTCCTCAAAGGGAGGGGAAAGATGAAACAGAGAAGGAACATAGCCAGTAAGGGATGTGTTCTCAAGCACTGCAGTGCTGCTGGAAACATCTGGAAGCAGTGTAAAGTACCTGCCTCAGAATAGCCCCTCTCAAGATAGGGGGAACCAGGGGTCTTCACAGCATGCAGAGATACATGATGGTTGTCCCATAGAAGAAACATTTGGGTGGTGATTCAGTTACCTTGAAAGTAGAACTGATTAACAGTCATTTGGGATGCCTTAAATACCTAATTCCTGAGGGAGAGCCGCTCTTAATTTCTTTCAGATCCCCTCATCATCTAAAGATCTAGGATTTCAAATACATAGTTATCAAACAAAAGACAGTAGCTCTATTATCTTTATTTCTTCCGAGGACAGGAGAGGAGACAGTGATTTCGAGCAGCACAAAGACTTAAGTGAGACATGGAAAGCTGCTTGATTGGTATGAGACTTATTAAACACGAGGTCCAAGTTCAAGATCTCTCCTCAAAAGGAGCTCTAAGTATGGAATGAGATGCCTTAGTGGTCGTACTTGTTTGAGGATGGTCAATGGACCAGATGGACTACTAGGATCCAGTGCAGAAAATGTAAACTTTTTTTTTTTTTTTAATTCATGAGAGACACAGAGAGAGAGGCAGAGACATAGGCAGAAAGATAAGCAGGTTCCCCTGTGGGGATTCTGATGCGGGACTCGATCCCTGTTACCCCGGGATCATGACCTAAGCCAAAGGCAGATGCTCAACCGCTGAGCCACCCAGGTGCCCCAGAAAAGGTCAAGTTCTATAGAAGAGTGATTCTCGATGCAAATTTCACCTCTTCAGAACACTTAATAAAAAGGCACTTGCAAAACTGGATATATTCAAATCTCCTCTACCAAGTTATGACTTCAATAGCAAGAGAGAATCAGGGCTCAGTTCAGAGATGGGGAAAAAATCTTGAGTCCAAATGCATGTGTACATATGTGTACACTCAAAGCCAAAAGCATATAAATATGTAGATTGTTCTTTTATGAATTCTCAGTTCTTTATAACCAGGAGTTAACTGGAGTTCATTACAGAGCATATGTTTTCTTTACAATTTTTCTAGCTATCAAAATTATAACAAAGATTTAAAGTGACTTCTATGAATCTTAGTCTGTCTTGTCTTTTTACATTAAATGTCAGCAAAATCAAAATATTGATTCAGTGGCATTAGAATGATTTCCATGGTAACCAGCTTCTATTTAAGTTGGGGATTATGACTTCCCTGTGGATAAAAGTAAAAAAGAACTGGACTTGTAGCAAAACAGCTTTTTAGAGTAGGGAAAAAAATAGCTTAACGATGAACACGCAAAAATTACATACCAAGAAAGTACAATTTAGTTTTTAAAAAATTGTAATTCCATCACACTAAAAATATACATTTATGGCTCTATTTTAGGGTCTTCTACAATAGTAACACCTTTAAAAATTATACAGTGGAGAAGATATACTGGCAACAAGTATGTGATAAATATTTTAATTGCTCTTTTTTTTTTTATTGCTTCAGTGTAGTAGCTACTTAGTGTGAGGAAAGATTGGATTAAATAAAAAGAGTTACCTGGAAAAGATGAGAAGCCCTACCAGTCATATCTCATGTATGACCCAGAGCAAGCAGGAGCTGAGCAAGCTTGCGTTCTCCACCAACCCCCCCCCCCCCCCCACTGCTCAGGTAAATGAGCATCCCACTCATCATTTGAGACTCTGTGTGGTGCAGGCAGAGACTGTACTTGGAACCAACGGGCATTTGACTTGGGACAAGTGATCTAATGAGACTATTTTGTTACCTTTAGAATGAGAATAAAGAACTGAAAATTGATGGTTTTCAGTCACAGCCTGGCTCCGTCACAGCCTTATGACAACCCAGTGGAATAATGCCCATAATGCGGCATGGTAGAAAGAAATTGCTCTACAATGATAAATTAATACTATTTTAAAGGTGTGCTTACCGCTTATTAATAGGCTTGAATAACATAAAATTTGAGTTTGGTGCAACACATATGTTAAAAACAAATAAGA